GGGGGGACGGTCACGCCGCAATCCCTTCTCCTCCATTCTCCTCTCGGGATCTTGGGCTCGCACGCACATGCGCCCGGCGTGAGTTTTAAGCCACCGGGTCCGGGACGCGAACCGCAGTCGACTACGTGGGAGTCCAGCGACATAGCCATTACGCTAACTGCTGGTTCCCTTGTTTTTGTTTTTTTTTTTAAAGAATTATTTATTTAAATTGATTTATTATTATTATTTTAATTTGCTGTAGGGTACATGTACTTACCAGAGAGAAATGGAGAGAGAGAAAACAAGCTGCCAGGTCGGACTCAAACCAGTCGGCCATGTGGGAGTCCAGCTCCTTAACCACCTTTTTAAATATATTTTTGAATGCCAGAGGGCATATGCACTCACTGGAGAGAGACAGAAAGGGAGGGATAAAGTATCCCCCAGTGGGATTGTGGCTGTGCACAATCCCTCTCCATTTTTCTGTCCTCTCAGGCCCCGGGCACACATGCACACATGCCCATCATCGTGTTCAAGCCACTGGGGCTGAGATCTAAATTGTAGTCAGCCATGAGGGATCTGGCTCCCTTTAACCATGGGGCCAGGCCTTGATGGAATTTTTAAGTTGTCTCTTAGAATAAATTCTGAGGTCCATGCAGAAAATAAATGTTAAGAGTATGTTCTAAACCATTTCATTGCTAATAAAAAGAAATACCTAAAACAGTGATTTTTAAAAATAGAGGGTTTTTTTTTCAGCTTATTTATGGTCAAAGATCCAGGGAGCCACCTCGGGTGGGGCAGCGTCACACATGGCAGAGTGGGGTCTGTGTTTCATATGTATGTCTGTCTCATTCCCTCTCCTTATAAACCAACCTTAATGACCTGAATCCTAATCTCTTCCCAAAGGCCCCATTTTAATAAGATTAAGTTTTCTCCCCCTTCATCCCGTTACAATGAATTTTGTGGGGACATACTCAAACTATAGCATGCTGTTTCCATTGCCTTCTAGGAGATAATTAAATTAGATACATTTGAATCAGTTCTTACTGTATATGCCAGACACTTTTCATACATGATTATAGCACATTTTACAGATAAAGCTGAGGAACTTGAACCCTACCTAGCAAGCTGGAGGTCAAGGTCCAAACTGTCTGGGCCAAGGCCTTTTTTGTGCATCACCTTGACAAAGGGCTGGGTTTCTTTTACTTAAAAATGTGTATTCTAGGGAACCAGCAGGTAGCGTAATGGCTATGTCGCTGGACTCCCACGTAGTTGACTGCGGTTCGCGTCCTGGACCCGGTGGCTTGAAACTCACGCCGAGCGCGTGGGCGTGCGTGCTCAAGATCCTGAGAGGAGAATGGAGGAGAAGGGATTGCGGTGTGACCATCCCCCCTGGGGGGTGATTTCTCGCTTTCTGTCTCTATGTCTCTCTCTGTCTGTCTGGTGAGCGTATGCGCCCTATAGCGAAAATCTCTCCAAAAAAAAAAAGAAAAAGTGTATTCTACAGATTTTTGTAGCTAGAACAGTATATTGGGACCAACGGTTGGTTTAATGGCTATGTCTCTGGACTCCCATGTAGTCGACCCAGTTTGAATTCTGGACCCAGTGGCTTAAACTCAAGCCAGGCACATGTGTGTGCATGCTCAAGATCCGGAAAGGAGAATGGAAGAGAAGCCATTGCAGCGTGGCCATCCCCTCCCCACCCCCGGGGGTGATTTCTCACTTTCTGTCTCTCTGTCTCTGTCTTTCTGGTGAGCACATGCACCATATAGCAAAAACCTCCTCCCCCCAAAAAATAGTATAGTATATAAATTGGAGTTTTTAAACATTTTTTCTTTTTCTGGCTGTCTTAAAAATTATGCTAGTTTGAGGTCAGCAGATAGTATGGGGGTTAAGCTGCTGGATCTCACATGGCTAGCTGGGTAGTTCAAGTCCCAGACTTTGTGGTTTGAAAATCAAACTGGGTACATGTACATACGTGCTCAAAATCCCTAGGGGAGACTGGAGGAGAAGAGATTGCAATGTGGCCACACCCCCAGGGGGTGATTTCTCACCTTCTCCACCTCTCTGTCTCTTTGTGAGAGCACATGGCCCCCAAATTTTTAAATTATGGTAGCTTCAGACCACATATAAACAGCCACAGCTCTAGCTAAAATTTTTTTAAAGATTTATTTATTTCCATTTGTTATTATTTTAAAATTTTTGACCAGATAGAGACAGAGAGAAAGGAAAAACAAGAAAGCAAGCCACCAGGTCCAGGACTAGAACTGTGGCCAGCCATGTGGGAGTCCAGTGCCTTTAACCACTATACCACCTGCTGGCCCCATCTGGCTAAAATGTTAGTATCACTAAACCAGTCATGAAAATGTTTGTTAATGGATTATTTCACTGTTGGTTGTCATTAACAGCGTATATACAAGCCCTAGCAGCATTGGAGCATTGGTGTCTGCAATTTCTATTTAGGAAGGTGAGAAATCTCAAGAAGATAGATTCTTTATTCAAACTTGCATTGTAAAATACTTATGTTTTTTTTTAAAGAATTATTTTATTTAGCTTTACTTATTCATTTTATGTTATTATTATTTTTTAAATTTGACCATAGAGAGAGAAAGCAAGCCGCCAGGTTCAAGACTTGAACCACAGTCGGCCATGTGGGAGTCTAGTGTCCTTAATCAGTACACCACCTGCCTCCCCCCCCCAAATACTTGTGATATTTGTAAAATTGTTATGAAAAATACCGAACTCTGTTGTTTAATCTGGTTCTTATAATAAAGGAACACTAGCTGAAATGGCCAGTAAAATGTGAGGAACAGTGAATGGAGAGAGTAAGGACATAATAATGGAGACTCTCTGCTACCCAAAAGAAATGGTTTTAAGTGGTTTTACTTTTTTTATTAGTAAATTTTTTTTTAATGATCAAAGAAAGATTGATAGAACTTGATGATCAGGAATATGTATGTATACACATACATATGTGTGTGTGTGTGTGTGTGTGTGTGTGTGTGTGTGTGCATGTTAGATTTTTGCCATAGGGCACATATGCTTACCAGAGAAAGACAGAGAGAGAGGGAAAGTGAGAAATCACCCTGGGGGATGGCCCTGCCATATCCCTTCTCCTATTTTCTTGGGAGTTGAGGCATGTAAGCATACAAGCCCAGCAAGTTTTTCAAGCTACCGTGTCAAGGACTCAAACCACACAGTTGACTATGTGGGATTCCACGCCTTAATCATCATACCACCTGCTGGCCCGATGATCAGAAATATTGGCCAGCTGTATTGACATATCCTTGAAAAATGTCTAAAGTTTTTTTGCTGGTTGATTGATATCTAAAAATTTCAAAGATTTTTAGATATTTTTAAACGTACAAAAAACAAAAACCCAAACCCAAATAAAATGACAAAAATTTTATGAGTACAAAGATTTACTAAATAGGGATTATTCATCTCTAAGATGTCCAAACCACACAATAACACATGAAAATATTTGGAGGGACTAGCAGTTAGCGTAATGGCTATGTTGCTGGACTCCCATGTAGTCGACCGTGGTTCGCGTCCCGGACCTGGTGGCTTAAATCTCATGCCGGGCACGCGTGCATTCATGCCCAAGATCCCGAGAGGAGAATGGAGGAGAAGGGATTGCGGCGTGACCATTACCCCTGGGGGAGTGATTTCTCGCTTTCTGTCTCTCTGTCTCTCTCTGTCTGGCGAGTGCACGCATCCTATAGCAAAAACCTCTCCAAATAAAATAAAATAAAATAAAAAGCTTTGGAGAACCAACTGACTTTATTATACTACAAATATAGATGAACACTGTGGTTCCTGGAATTTTGGTTTTTACGAGTTTCAGATTTGTAATTTTGCTAAGTAAGTACATATTCTATCACCAGCCTCATCTCTCCTCTGCTCTTCCCCTTCCCCATCCTAATGATAGGAGCCTACTATCCCCCATCAGTATTATTTTATGAAAGATTCACATATTTGTTTTTGTAGACATTTTCAAGTTACATAACGCGGGACATCCCTCTCAAATGAACAAATATATCTTCAAGAAAAATTCACTATCCAGTTCTTACTGTTTTTGCACTGGTGAGAGAAATTTACACACTAGAAATTGATTTAAAAAAAAAAAAAAAAAAAACTAGGTTGGTAAAACCACCAGAGGGCACTCTCACATAGGGTTCAGTGCAAACAACTCCTCACCCAAAAATGGTGACCTACAAACACTTAATTAGCAGAGAACTTGGATGTCCACTAGTTAAGAATAGCGAGTAGAATAAATAGCAGTAATGAAACAAAGTGTTGGAATATTCTGAGGTCCTTATTCACTTTGTTCATTCATTTCAACAACCATTTATGAAACTCCTGCTATGTATGGGGAGTCATACTTTTGGGTGGTCTACTGGAAAAAATCAGGCTCTTTCTAAGGACTATTATATCTACTGAACTAATATCTATTTAGTCACTTGCTTTTTCTCATGACGTTATTGTCTATCCATACAAATAAAGCATTATTGCTTTTA